ATCCTCGTGATTACCCATGGTCGCTTGCTACTACTACCTTTTATATAAATGGCGGGTTCAACATGTCATCGACCACATTGCACCTCTATAAATATGAGCGGCTCTTTTGTCCTCGACCAAACTCCACCCCATTTTCACTTGCTTTGGGACCCATTTAGACTCTCTTTCCCATTTCTTTTCTTTTCTTTTGGAGCTCTGCATTAGAAAAGTAAGCTCTTTGTTAGTTATGTCATAGCTCTTATGGTGGTTCTACTTCCTTGAACATCACAGTCTTGTCGCGTAAAGTAAGTTTTTTCTATTTCCTCACCCCGATCATTGAGCTTTTAGAGGAGCTGTGATCCTAGGACTCACCTCAACATAGACGTAGGTGGCCGGCAAGCCACTGAGCCATGGCAATATATCTTGTATCATTCTTTTTGTTGTTTGATCGCTCTATACTTGCTCTTTACACTTATGCTTCTAGGGTGTTTTGTTAGATAGCTTTGCCTGCCAAGTGACATAGGCATAGTTGATTTACTTTGAACACTAGGTTGTGTAGTTGTTCACCCTAGGCTTGCAAGACTAGCTAGAGGTAGTGCTTATTAGAGCATCCTTGTTATCTAACTCAGTTTGTTGGTACTGATGCGAACTTGAAGCGACGGCGGTGAGCAAGTGGCCGGACCTGAAGCCCGGCGCGTCCTCCACTGCGCCCTCCACCTCCCTGTACGCCAGCGTCGGCACCACCCACGCGCCTTCCCCACCGTGCCCATCCGATCCTCCTCTTCCTCCCAAAACTGTAAGCACGAAAACCGGCTCGGTGGCTCCCCCTCGTCGTCCTCCGCGTGCAGCGGACCCGGCTCGGGATCCAAATCCTCCATGTCTACCCTCACACACCCTCGCACTGTGCGCGTGCCATAAGCCCCGTGGCCGGACGCCACCACCGCCACCCGCGAACCCTTAGCCCCGCTGTCGGGCGCCGCCGCCCTGCACACCCTGAACCCCACGGCCGGGCACCGCCACCGCTAGATTTGCCCCCGCACCGGGGGCACCCACCATGCACGCCCACATCAGGAGAGAGAGAGAGAGAGATGTGTGCACGCCGCGGGGGAGGGTGCGCCGCCACATCGAGAGAGAGAGAGAGAGGGGAGGGAGAGAGACTGAGAGAGATGCACACGTGGCTGGGGGAGAGGAGTCGCGCGAGACTGATGGTGCGGGAGAGGGGGGCGTTGGGGAAAGGGAGAGTCGAGCGTGGGGTGTGTGCGGGACGGGTTGAGGGATGAGTGATGAGGTTTGATCCAAGCAATCTGGTCCATTGGATTTGAGTGAGTGAGAGAAAAGAGAGACCAGAGTAGATCTCGTCTCTTCGTTTCATAGGTTGGCTTGCTTTGGGTGTATTATTTTGGGTGCACTTAGGAGAGTTCATGACTGTGGTAGACAAGTTTTGGTGTGGCTTTAGAAAAGTTTACATCGGTGCATTATATGTGGTAGAGAGTATATATAGAGATAGAGAAGAAATATGTGGTAGAGATTGGTGTGGCTTTAGAAAAGTTTACATCGGTGCATTATATGTGCTAGAGACTAGAGATAGAGATAGAGATAGAGAGGTAGAGATATTGGTCATCACTCTCGAGATTCCCCTAGCTATGATGAAACAGAAAAAATGTTCGCTTTCTAATCCTTTCAATGTCAACTATACGCCCTTAGAACTCACCTAGCAACAAATCTCTACAACTAAAACATTTATAACTATTCCGTCCACAGGTGCGACACCAAAGCCGCTCCATGCGATCAGATCAGGAAGGCAACGCGCACTCGCTCCATGCGATCAGCTCAATCCCCCATAACAACCGCAACAAATCAGGAAGGCAAAAATCAATTCCCATAACAATCGTGCACACAAGGAAAGCCCGACGTCCGATAGAAACTTCCCTCAAAATGCCACTATTGGATTTATTGGATCACGAAATAAATGGATATTGGAGATTTCTTCTTGCCGATATAAAACATTATTTTAGCCGCATCACGGAAAAAGGTCTATGCAATAGAGTTTGTGAGCCTACGACGCCACGCTCTCCGGGATTGTGTTAATGTCACAAACTTTGCTTTTTAGATTAAATGTCACTTTAACGTCGCTATTTAATTTTACAGTATTGTTATCTTATCGTGCGATCCATGTGTTTTTAATACAAAAGTTTAGCTGTCCCGTAGCAACGCACGGGCACGAACCTAGTTGAACAAAAAATATCCATTTGACTCCCATTTTACACATCAACTCACCGCCTACCCACGCCACAATAACTAGAATATAGCCGCTTGCTACTACTACTTTTTATATAAATAGTGGGTTTGGAATGTCACCGATCACATTGCACCTCCATAAATACAAGCGGCTCTTTCATCCTCGACCAAACTCCACCCTATTTTCGCTCATTATGGGACCCATTCGGACTCTCTTTCCTATTTCTTTTTTTTGGAGCTTTGCACTACAAAAATCGCTCCTTGCCACTTATGTCATAGCTCCTATGGTGGTTCTACTACGTGAACATCATAGATTTGTCGTGTAAAGTAAGTTTTTTATTTTCCCCTTCCATGGGGTTCCATGCACATAGGTTTAACTTAGATATAGTCTAAACATGCAACGATATCGATAATGTTGCGACTAGGGCGTCCATCCCGCGTCGGTTCGTTTGGACGCGGCTAGCTAGGCTTGTGGACCGGCTCATAGGCCTACTCCCACATACAGAGAGTTCCTCAACAAAAAGGAAAGAAAATAGAGCGACACTCCGTTCCCCATTTCGCATCGCCCGCTGCAGGCGCCTCTACCGCGCCGCCGCCCTAATTCGCTCGCCTTCTCTACCGCTGCGGCCGCTCACCGCGGGTAGCAAACCTGCTGACTGACTGGCGCTGCTGCCCGACCGCCGCTCACCCATGGAGAGGGAGACCACCGCCGCTTCTGCCTCCACCACGGTGGGCGGATGCTTGATAGTCGGCCCGGAAGACCTCTGCCTCCGACGCGCCGCGACCCAGCGTCCGCACCCGCATCCACCTCCCACTCACGGCCATCTCCGGGTGCACCCCGCCTCTCACTCTGCTTAGCCACCTCCCTCCCTCGCATGCCCGCCTACCACCGCTCTTCTTGTACTTCTTCGCCGCCGCCGTCGCCCAGGCCTCTCGCCCACCGCTGCCATCGTGGGCAACCTGACTATTCCGCTCAAGATGGATGTGACAACGGTAAAGTCTATAGGTTTTGCGTATTTATTTTATTTGTTTTAATTGTTTGTTTCTCTTGTTGTGGATTTTGTTCACTCTTCTAGGATTTCTAATCTGAATTTTGCTTGCCCCCTCTCTATAGGATTTGTGATGTTTCAATTTTTTTGATTTTGCATGTTGCAATGGTTTGATTTGAGATGTTAAGGTGGGAATTGGTGTTACCATGGTGGTATCCTTCTTCCTTGCTGGCTGACTTCATGAAGGCAACGCTTTCATGTTGTAGCTGGATGAATTTGATGTTGCAGTAGCCTTGTTCTGATGTCGCAACAAGTAATATTTCTTTGTTGCATTAGTCTTTTTTGTTCTGATGTTGCATCTCACATTACAGTAGCCTTGTTCTGATGCTGCAGTAGCCTTGTTCAGATGTTATTCTTTTTTTTGGTTTGATGTTGCAGTATCATTATTCTGATGTTGTAACAAGTAATACTTCTGATGTTGCATCTCGTATTGCTCTGTGGTGCAATAGACCATCCGATGGGAAATTTCCCATCCTGTTCGGGTGATGGAGTGCGGTGGGGATGGAGCGCGGAGGGCAACAGGGCGCGCAGGGGATGGTGGTGTGGCGTGGGATGGCGGTACGGCGGGGGATGGGCCACCGCGAGTGGGACGGGCGGGCGCTCCTGTTCTGTTACGGGGGCAGGGATACGTCGGATAGGTGCGCTCGTTTCTCTGTTGAATCGTTTTGTGGGTAGAATTGGACGGTTCCTATTCCTCCAATCGGATGGTGCCGAGGTGCGTCCGGACACGTCCCTGGTGTTGGACGTCCGGACGCTAGTCATCCCGCAACGATATTGCTGGTTGATGTAGTTCTTGTTATGGAACACTTTACCACAAAATGGATGATTGTTGATCTACATAGTGGGTAAGGCGGTCGATAGAACAACATCGCTTTAATGGAACCAAGTGGTGTCCATGTGGGTAATTATAATGGCGACGGTTACGTCGACGATCAAGTGGTACAAAGAAGACGCCGGACCATAATAAGAAAAATATACATTTTTGAAATTATATATGATTTCTGCAGGTAGTAAATGATTTTCTTACGATGAGATGTAATGTAGGATCCAAATTTTGGAAAACATTTAATGTGCCCTGGCAACAAGATACTAATTTAGCAATATATTAAATACAGGCAAGGAATTCACATAAACGATGTCTATATCACATCTAGCATAGCATATACCACGCTTATAATCATATAGATACCTGGAAATATCATATTTCACAAGAAGCATTATTTTTTCAAACAACTCCACCGTCCATACATGCTTTTTGCACATTCAAGACTAGATCTAAATTGTGAATTGTCTCAACAAGGCTTACACAAATTTGGACAAAGCAGAAGGTTCAGATCGTAAGACCGCTCTAGTCTCTGCTCTTCCTGGTCAGTGGCCGTTACCACTGCCACCTCTCCTCTCCTCTCTCTCGCGCAGAGGAGAGAGACAGACTCCCCCCTCCTCGCCGCCCTCGCGCCTCCTCCGCCCGCAGCTCACGCCGAGCGTCACCTCGTTGCTACCTTCCATTCTCGGCTTCTCGCCGCACTTCTCCCACACGGCACCTCGCGCCCTCGTGGCGGCATAAATAGCCCCTCTTCGCTCCTCGCCGCTCTCCAAACCCACCAAACCCTAGCCCACTTAGCGGCGGCGGCGCTAGAGGTGGAACGAGAGCTTGGCGTAGGTAGCGAGGGTGGCGCTGCTTGCTCGCTCACTGGGTTTCAATCCCGCACCGCGTCGAGCGACAGCTGCGCGACGATGAGCAGCCTTGTGGAGCGGCTGCGCGTGCGGTCGGAGAGGCGGCCGCGGTACGCGCTCGACGAGTCCGACGACGACCTCCCGCTGCGCGCTGTGGCCGGAAAGGGGAAGGATCGACAGAACGACGCGCCTGCCGAGCGGATCGAGCGCGAGGACGCGGTATGGCTGATCGGGGGCTCGCTTCTCTGTGCTTGCTGTTAAGAATTTTGCTGAGGCTGGGTGGTAGCTAATGTTTTTTGGGGAATTGGGCCTAATATTGCTAGGATTTGTGCTTTGCATTGAGGGTTATGTTGCTAGGTGTCTAAAACTATTGCAAAACGGGAGGAAACAGTTTTGCAATTCCGTGTGGAGCAGGGGAATTGAGGTGCCTGACTGGTGCTGGGATGTTTCTAGGAACATCTGGTTAGATGACATGGTTGCTTGATGCCTTTAGTTAGCTGAAACGTGAATCTGGGCTGTCTCCCTCTGTTTTTCTTGGGGCTGAGTTCAGCTATGATATGCTACAAGTCTGGGTCTTAGTATAACGAGACTAGTTCAACGTCAACAAAAGTTTACTTATTGAAATTTGTGCATTCTGAAGAAGACCTAAGGGTCTGTGGTTTTGAGGTTCACGCATTTGGTTGGTACTATGCTACCTGAATTCGAACTCAAATGGAAGAATCAGATGTGACACCCATGTTTGTTAACTGTCTTGGTGTAGCCTGGATCCAGGAGCTAAAGTTTAGTCGTGTCACATCGGTCGTTCGAATGCTAACTAGGAGGACTAAACATGAGCTAATTATAAAACTAATTTCACAGGAGTAGACTAATTAGCGAGACGAATCTATTAAGCCTAATTAACCCATAATTAGCAAATGTTTACTGTAGCACCACATTATCAAATCATGGACTAATTAGACTTAATAGATTCGTCTCATAAATTAGCCTCAATCTGTAATTAGTTTTGTAATTAGCCTATGTTTAATACGCCTAATTGGTATCCAAAGATTTGATGTGACAGGCTAAACTTTTGCCTGAGGGAATCAAACACAAGCACTGTAGTAGTTCTATATATATAATAGGTGGCCTTGGTGTTCCGCAAGCTCAAGCTTGAGCAAGGACTGCTGATGAAATTATCATAAGAGAGTACATGCAAATATGTGATTTTTTTTGTTAGTAGTTCATTGTCGGCTCACATTAAATCCTGAACAGTAAGATAGCGATCTTATCCTTACTATTTTGAAGTCTGAGATATCTTGCTCAAAAACTGAACCTTGTCTTATCTATATAATGGAGCTCTAAAATGTTTATGATGCACTATCCTGACTTCCAATCTCCTCTAGTTCATGTGATTTTGTTTTTTTAGTCTTGTTCTTTTCTGTCTACATAATCCTGTAGTTTTAGTTGGTTCATCCTTATTTTGTATGTGCAGAAAGAAGAAGCTTGCCAACGATGTGGAAAAAGTGATAATCTAGTCTCTTGTTCAACATGTACATATGCATTTCACAGAAAATGCTTGGTTCCTTGCTTAAACATCACATCTGATAAATGGAGCTGCCCGGAATGTGTATGTCTTTGCCTCATCATACACCTCCCTTTCAGTTTATGCTTGATACTGTTGGTGTAACAATTCACCTTGTTTGTTATCTTCAGGTAAGTCCATTAACAGAGATGGAGAGGATTCTAGATATTGAAGTACTGGAAGCCCCTCGTGAAGATTCTAGTTCCACAGAGCCTCGATCAAAGAAGATGGAGCGATATCTTATCAAGTGGAAAGGATTATCATACATTCACTGCTCTTGGTAGTTACTTGCTCACTACATGATTATATTTCTTTGTACTCTACTATTAATTATTATCTCTCTTCAAAAACCAGGGTTTCAGAAAAAGAATATTCAGAAGCTGCGAATATCCACCCTCGTTTGAGGACTAGGTTGAATAACTTCAGAAGGCAAAAGGAAGCCATGAAAAAAAAGAAGCAGAAAGATCTGGTGAGGACATTGTCGCAATTAGACCGGAGTGGACAACTGTTGACAGGATCCTTGCTAGCAGGTATGCAGGGTAATTTAACAACAGACAAATTATATGCATGGTGCTTCACTACTTTTACCTTGTATAGTGGATTGATGGTACTGAACACTAATACTATTTTCTGTTAGATATGTAGTGACTCATATTGCTATTATGATTTTTTTTAATCTGGTGCTCCAGCTTTTTCTTTGGTGAATTATTGAATTAGCATATGCATGTAGTTTTGTGTCAAGTAACTTGTCATGCATATCGCTATTGTCAATGCATACTCCATTTATAGGGCTCTTATTTCCTATTGGTTCTGTGAATCAGTCAGTCATATGAAACTCATGTGATGGGAATTTATTCCATGATCTAGAATGAAGTCTAGTACCCAATTACTCATTATAAATCATGCCTTCCACTTCAGCTTCATATTTCTAATTTTCCATATCATGATGGTCTCACCCATCTAGATGCCTATTTACCTCTTCCTTACATATATCCATTAATTTCCATTTAGTAGAGGTCTGGCATATTGAGATTTTATTTTGTACATTATTTAATGGACAGAAAAAACTCGGTTGGCGAGCGGGAGTACTATGTTAAATGGAATGAACTTACATATGAGGAATGTACATGGGAAAATGAGTCTGATATTTCGGCGTTCCAACCTGAGATTGAACGCTTCAATGAGATCCAGTCCAGGCGTAAGAAATCTGGTGATAAGGGCAAGGCCACTCGGGAGCCACGGCAATTCAAGGAGCAGAGCCCTCCGTTTCTTTCTGGTGGTATGTGTTATGAATAAACATTATCCTGCTATTAAATACAAACTATTCCTGGATATTTAATTTTCAGCTGACTGTAATTCTTGGATCTATTCTTTCCATGAATGGTGCTTTTGATGGTTTTTGAAGGCACACTACATCCCTATCAGCTTGAAGGGTTAAACTTCTTGCGCTATTCGTGGTTTCATAACAAACGCGTAATCCTTGGTGATGAGATGGGTCTTGGTAAGAGATGCTTATATTGTAAGGACAAAGCTTTTGGTTCAAATGTTGTTTCGGGATTTGAGAAAACGATGACAATTGCAGGGAAGACAATACAGAGTATTGCTTTTCTGGCTTCACTGTTTGAAGACAAGTTTGGTCCACATCTGGTTGTTGCCCCCCTCTCAACCCTGCGGAATTGGGAGCGTGAATTTGCAACTTGGGCACCTCAAATGAATGTTGTATGTGGATCAAACTAATTTGAGACCCATATTCTGTGTAATTTGGACAGACTTATATCCCCTTAATACTTTTCCCTTATTGTGGATAGGTAATGTATTTTGGAGCTGCTGCTTCTCGCGACATTATTAGGAAGCACGAGTTCTACTACCCCAAAGAGAAACTGAAGAAGCTGAAGAAAAAGAAATCATCTCCATCTAATGAAGAAAAAAGCAGTCAAGGATAAGATTTGATGTCTTATTGACGCCTTATGAGATGATTAACATGGACTCTAATGTTCTAAAAAACATAGAATGGGAATGCTTGGTACTGTTTTTTGTTTCAGCATCATTTCTCTGTCCAGCTGTGTCTATACATAGCATGTTTTAAGGTTTAATTAACTTGTTTCCAATCCGTATGTTGTGTCAGGTTGTGGATGAGGGGGCATCGGTTGAAAAACAAAGATTCCAAGTTGTTTGGTCAACTTAAAGATTATAACACCAAACATCGTGTTCTATTAACAGGGACCCCAGTCCAGGTTACTTCTTCATATACATTGTCATGCCTGAGCTATATGGAAAAATTATACATTTCACTTTACCAATATTTGCTTAGAAATCCAACAGTGTCTTGTACCTTCTAGCTCTCCTTGTTGGCAATTTTTTGCTTGTTAAGTTTTTGTTTTACTTGCTAATTCCGGAATCTGGGTATTCGAGTAATGTTTGTAACTATCTTCCTCATCAAACAGATCAGGACACAACAATCTAAATAGTATATTTGTTGAATCCACAATACACTTATGTGAAATAAGAAATGACACTTTTACACAACTGTGTATTTTGAGATGCTATTTATGAATCATGTCTGCAAATTAAGCGCATCAGCTTTGCATGAGCATTGATCCTATACTAGGTGACATCATTTATTTGAGATCACATTAGTTAGTTATTCAATTCATTTGCTAATAATAATGTCATCATTATCTTCTTGAGTTTCTTTTCACTATTCTTATGTATGCTGTTCCTTGTTGTACTAGTGTCTGTTGAGCCCGAACATTGTTTTTTGCAAGTGTTTTAACTTGACGTTCGTTTTCCTCTTTTCCAGAATAACCTTGATGAGCTTTTCATGCTTATGCACTTCCTTGAGGGTGAAAGTGTAAGATTTTGTGCTTTTTGGATGCTCAAAATTTTATTTCATTTAGTTCATGGCACTCTGTTGTTTGTTAGTGATGGTCTCCTTTCTGTGGCTTCTGTGGCCTTTTTCTTTCTTATAAATATGTTTCAATAGTCAATAGAGAATCCTTATTATTGAATTGCTTCAGTAGGGCCTAGGATAGGAATGACTGTTTGTGTAAACCACACCATGATTACTTGTTCTTATATACTTTCATACAAGGAGCTGTTGTCGTTATGGTAATTGCTTACTTGTTGTTTATAATTCGTCCTAGTGATTTATACTGCTGTTGTCACTATGTTATATGAGCCTACTATGTTCTTAACTGTCAGTTGGCTTAAAATTGAAGTCTCTGTTGGCATTGAATTTCAGAACTGTATTAACGGAGTATTCATTAAAACAATTTTTCTGCAAGTGCAAGCAAAATATGATTAAATAAGGTTTAAGATAGTGAAATACTGTATATATATCTGAACCGTCGTAATTTTCCTCTTCTATTAATTCTTACTGGCACAGTGGCACTATGTTAATTGGATCACTGAGTTTGTTGGACCCCAAACCCTTTCTGCTTGGTAAAAGAAAACATTTTGATGCATAGCATAGCCATGTATGCACAATGCATTGCAATACTTGGTTCAGTTGTTTAACATTCCAATCGCCTCAGCCCATGTTACATTAAATGTTCTATTTGACAACCTAAACTCATTTTCTCCTGAAACTATTTATAGACTGATGTGACATGCTTATGTCTGTATTCTGCAGTTTGGGAGTATAACTGATCTCCAAGAAGAGTTCAAGGATATAAACCAAGACAAGCAAATTGAGAAGCTTCACGGAATGCTGAAGCCACATCTTCTTCGAAGTGAGTATCTACTTCACCTTTTCATATTTTGGCCAGGCACATGCTGCTGCTGATATTGAATTGAATAATTTGTTTAATTGGTCGCCATTGTTAAAAGAATCTAAAACTTATTGCAACCTTGTCATGCCTGTGGTACAAATAGGATTCAAGAAGGATGTTATGAAAGAACTTCCTCCAAAAAAGGAATTGATTTTACGAGTTGAATTGACAAGCAAACAGAAGGAGTACTATAAGGCAATTCTCACCAAGAATTATGAAGTGTTAGCTCGTCGTAATGGTGGACATGTAATAGCTTGTTTTGATTTTCATTTAATTGGTTATATATCTTCCTTTACCGCATTTACATTTTTCTATTGTTTTGTTACAGACTTCTCTAATAAACGTTGTAATGGAGTTGCGCAAACTCTGTTGCCATGGATTCATGATTGATGAACCTGATTTTGAACCTGCCGATCCAGAAGAAGGTTTAAGGTGTGCACTGGTTCTTGTTTATTAACTGTCTTCTATTTTGTTTCACTATGTTTATTTAGTTCATCTTTGCTGTGATTTTTATTTGTTTGGCCTATGTGGTTTCATGTTATTTTTTATTGTATGTTATTTTTTATTGTATACTTTTTTTTAGTAGTTGTATACTCTCATCCTTCTTAGTTCACTCATAGGTTTTGTTCTTGTTCTTTTACATAATGTTCTTGCTGGTGTATGATGATCACTTGGAACTGCCAGTGTCCGTAGGAGTACTTGGTATCACTAACCTTTTAAGCTTGCTTGACTGTAAAGACACCTCGCCATATTGGAGTTGTCCATTGTTTGTTTCTCTCTGATCTTCTCGTTGAACATGCTCTAAAAATGTGCCAATGAAAAACATAAGCGTTTTTGTTGCCAATTATTTTGGCTGAGATTGAGCTGTAATAGATATCTTGATGATAGTCATAGTACCCATTCTAATTTGAGTATAGCTTCTGTATCCACCCATTAGAATGCTTCTTTGAGTAATTTTTAAAATTGTTCATATGCTGAACTGAATTAACTTATTTTCGATTTAGCTACCTTTCAAGCTTGAGTACATCTGCTGAGCAGTATTTTTACTCCACAATTATTTTTATTATTAGGTGTCACTGCTATCTTGATTCTTTGAATATGCAGGAGGCTTCTAGATTCATCAGGTAAGATGCAGCTGCTGGACAAGATGATGGTGAAACTGAAAGAGCAGGGTCATAGAGTTCTAATTTATTCACAGTTCCAGCACATGTTGGACTTGCTGGAGGACTATTTAAGTTACAGGGTACTTATCTTCCCATTGTGACTATGTTAGCTTCACGGGTTAATGTATCTCATCCACTGTTCTATGAACTATACATGTTTCAGAAATGGAACTATGAACGCATTGATGGCAAGATAAGTGGTGCTGAAAGGCAGATACGGATAGATCGCTTCAATGCTAAGAATTCGACTAGGTTTTGCTTTCTTCTTTCTACCAGAGCTGGTGGTCTGGGAATAAATTTGGCAACTGCAGATACTGTAATCATCTATGACAGGTGAAACAATCTCTTTGTTTAGACAAAAACAGTTAATATAATGGGTTTGCTTTAATTTCTCACCTATGTATGTACAGTGATTGGAACCCACATGCGGATTTGCAAGCTATGGCAAGAGCTCATCGCTTAGGACAGACTAGCAAGGTATTTTACCTTACAATGTTATATTGTATCGAAAAACAGATTTTCAATGAGTTTTGTGGTGATTTTTATGTATAATTTTCCTCTGTTTTTCTTTTTTAGTGATGATATACCGCTTGTTAGCCGAGGTACAATTGAGGAGCGAATGATGCAGCTTACAAAGAAAAAGATTTTATTGGAGCACTTAGTTCTTGGTCGACTCACAAAAGCTAATAATGTCAATCAGGTGCGGTGACTGCGTTTTAATGGTGAATTTTGTAAACCATCAATTTGGGCTGATCTTTTATGGCTTAAGCTATTTGTGAATTCATTTATGAGTTAAAGGTCGAGTAGTTACATGCTACCTTTTATTACTGGGATGGCATGGAATGAATGTAGCATCTGTTAGTATCATGTCCCTTTCTTTGTGTTACATTTTACAAGGCTTAAAACCTTACACATGTTGCCAGAGTTGGTGACTATTGAGTCTTATCTGTAAATTTAATTGTTTCTCTTGATGTCGATAGCAGTTTATGGTTGTATGAGATTCCTTGGGTTTGTTAGCATGAATGTGGTATATAGGTTTAGCTCTGCTGGTGTGTTATGCACTTATGATTCAGACCTGTTTTGGAGCTGTGATGTGATATGCAATGTTAGTTGTTAAGGTCCCATTTGTTTGTTTCATATTCATAATCTATGTGGATGCATTAGTTCAGATCAGGCTGGGTGATCTGGTGGGCGTTGGTACATGCATGGCTGAATAAGGGTTTGATGACCAAGGGTAAGGCATCCCACACTCTACTCTTGGATGGCCAACTGGGTAGTGTTAGTTATCATGGAAACAAGGTTGACAACCTCTTTAAGGCTTGTCTTCAAGAACTAAACATAAAAAGAATGCCATGAAGATGGAACCCAGGATCTCAGGACCTATTTCTCGTAAATTTCCTGAATCTTTGCTGGAGCTGGTAACGGGCTGGTTGCTGGTCTAATCCCAGCATTACAGTTTTGTATATGTTTCTTCAGACTTTCAACACTTTTTAACTTCTAGAACATGTAATTGGCATGTACAAACAAAACAATGGAGAACAGTTCAAAGTGCATGTCCTTACTGGGATGTGGGATCACACACTTCTGGTATCTTTAGGACTTGTTGATTGATTTGGTGCAGGCTAGTAGTTAACCCAATTTTCTGTTCTGCCCCACTGGTGAACTCTTCATCGGTTTTTCAGTACTAAATAATAAGTATGCATCTTTGCCCGTTTTAGGAGGAGCTGGATGATATTATACGCTATGGATCAAAGGAGCTTTTTGATGACGAGAATGACGAATCTCGCCAAATTCATTACGATGAAGCTGCAATTGAGAGGTAAACACTTTCTTAGGCCCTTTTTGGATCTCCTAAGATAAGAAAATGAGAATGAGGTAGAAAAATGAGTGAGATGAGATCCAAGCACGGATTCTAGGATCCAACTATCTAGCCAAACCTTGCTATTTGGAGGTTCTCACTATGCAAAGGCCATAATCACTATGAGAATGAGATCCAAACACCCCTCATTTTTTTTCTTTATCTAGAATCTAGATTATACATCACCATGTATAATCCCTATGAGAATGGGATCTAAACATGGCCTTAACTTCACCTTGGGAAGTTATTTCGGGGATTATGCCTTTCTGATGTGAAGTTGTTTTAAGTATTACCAAATCTATGTAACAATTTACAAAATATACCGGAATCTGGAGATAATTTTGATCATGGTTGCAAACCTGGAATTTTTCATGACCATGGCAATAAATGGCAGTCTATACTCAATATCACCCTATCGCAAAGAACAACATGAGCAGCAGCATAATCGATTTTGTTTGTTTAATTCCATTTTCTTATGAAATTCTTTCTTTTCTCCTATTATTACAGTAATTCATAGTATGGATTCTGTCTTCATGCAGAGTATATGCAACACTAATCCCTTGTTTTTATGCCCCCAATTTTAGCTTCTTTGTTATGACTTAAAACTGTAGTGCTCTATGTTAGAGGAGGCAACTTTTTAATATTTCTGCACTGGCCTCACAGGTTGTTAGACCGTGATCAAGTTGATGGTGATGAATCTGTGGAAGATGAAGAAGAAGATGAATTCTTAAAAGGATTCAAGGTATTGAGGTCTTATTTCAATTATTCATTACAAGCATGATGCTTGAGGAGCTTCTTCATTTTAATTATCCTCTTGATATTTACTGTGGTTTACATTGCTTGTTCTTTTTCTTGCTTATTATGTGCACATGCATTCAATAAAGTGCACGTAATCTCTTCTTTGCACAAGTATACTTGTGAGGCAGTGAGGTCTGACGGTCTATTGGGCCGGGTTCGGCAGTATGGCTAGGGTCAAGTAAGCCAGATGTTATGGATGTTGATCTGATCTGGATGGCCCTAACCCAAGCAGCCCGATATCAGCAAGCCGATAGGCGTCATCCAGACCACAAGGGCAGGGAGAGGAGGGACTGGGATAATAGATCTATATCTTCTTGCCTGATTAGATGGATACATCTCCTTATATAGACAGGCTTACTTGACCCTAGCAAGAGACTCTTATCTCTAATTAACCCTAACACTAATGGGCCATACTGCCGAACCTGGCCCAATAAACCTAGCCGACTACTCATGACACCTATTCTTCCATTTCAAATATGCTATGCTACTCATAGCGCAATGCTATTTGTGTTTCATTTATTGTTGAAAATGCTGCATAATACAACTGCATCATGACTCATTTTTTTCCACTTGCGTTCTAAGTATTTGACATATTCTAGCAAACAAAAAGAGTGTTCCTTTATTTAATCCAAAAGCAACACGATTCTCACTTCATGTATTACTCCATGCTAGGTTGCAAACTTTGAATACATCGACGAGAAAAAGGCTCAGGCAGAAAGAGAGGAGGAGGCACGCAGAAAGGCTGCAGCTGAGGCTGAAAACTCTGCAAGATTAAACTATTGGGATGAACTATTGAAGGATAGATACGATGTACAGAAAGTTGAAGAACATACTGCTATGGGAAAAGGGAAAAGAAGCCGCAAACAGGTGTAATTTCTAACCATTACCAACCATTGTTAACCTTGTGCCCTTTTTCATATCCCTTTTCCTTATTTTGCGATCTGCATTTGCTTCGAGGTTGGCAATAGACGCAATTTCATATTTGTTGGCAACTTACAGTATTTCACTTGTAAAAAATCTTTTAAACGCCATGTAGATACTGTAGGCCTTGTTTGGTGCTCATGTATCCACCTTAATCCATGTGTGTTGGGGTGGATTGACGTGGATTTTAAACTAAATTCCACACCAAACCACTCCAACACACATGGGTTGAGGTGGATACATGTGCATCCAAACATGGCCGTAATTGTAATTAAATTTTAGGAAACCATGCTTATACACCTAACTAGCATAACTGATGCAACCAATCACTGTTGAGTGTTGACAATATGTATCAAAGCCAATAACTAATCTTGTCATGAAGATAATCTTGTCATGAAGATAAGCCAATAACTAGCATAACTGATGCAACCAATCACTCCCTTCTCATTGCATCCTGCGCTCCTTAAGATGGCTAACTGCCTCTTGTGTGCCACCCTGGACTCCATTGGCTTGGTTGCCTGGCCCATCTCTATAACTCTAATATCTCTATGCAACCAAATGCGCTAGCATTCCAAACTTACCAGGTCCTTCAGCATCATTATGGTTCAGCGCAAGACCCTTTTTGAGCTTCCAATCTTTGTATAATTTGTACAAATGTCCCAATGGATACCAAACACGTCCTAGCTGCTTTTAATTATATCACATCATAATCCTCAGAGGTAGTTTTTTCTACAGCACAGAGATCAGAATCAACACGACAGTTCATTTGTCTAAGCACAGCTTTTGTATTTTATTCCATTGAGAGGATCCTAGAGAAAGATACAGGATGTTTTGAGAGAAGACCCTATGTGGTTTAGAGGCAGAGTATTATACTGTGATGGTAGAACATAATAAATCCCCCCTAATATCTAATGCTCCAGTTTCTGGTATATATTGTGACTAAAGTTTGACAATTTTTTTTGTGAATTATTACTGTAAGACACTTCTGAATGGAGCTGTAATAGTTTTGCATGAAAGTAAGGAAGAATGTAGCTGTTGTTTGTATTTGTTTTGATGGCATAGTGCCATTAGTGCGTTACCTCATAGCTAGTCATGACATCTACTACTCAGTGTGCTGTAATCTTCTGTTTGCGAAGGTAATTCTTTTAAAATTAGTTTTGCATGACAATAAAGTAAAATATAGCCATTCTATATTAGATCTTTCTTGCTGTAACTGTAGAGTTTAATATACTACTGTCTGTTTGGCAATGTATTGTTTTTTAAATTTGATCAATTTGAACTTTAGAGTGACCATATACATTTTCAGTAACAGAAAAGACTGATGAGCCTTGTTTCTTTTCTGCGTTTTGTGCAGATGGCTGCAGCTGATGAAGATGACATTGACTTAAGCTCCGAAGACGAGGATTACTCATTTGAGGATGACGTGTCAGATAACGACACAACTTTGCAAGGAAATGTTTCTGGGAAGAGGGGCCAATATTCTAAGAGAAAATCACGTAAGACAGTTATGTAAATACACTGCACTATGGAATATGGATTATTGCTACATTATGAATATTCTGTACTTATATACTTTGCCAACACATTGTCATTAGGTAATGTTGATTCTATTCCATTGATGGAGGGCGAAGGACGGACCTTGAGAGTTCTTGGATTCAACCATGCTCAGCGAGCAATGTTCCTACAGACACTCAATAGGTTAGTTATTGATATGCCTCTTGAACCTGTCTGTTCGTTGAGTGAATACCTTGAACGTATAGTTTATGTGCTGATGTTGACATGCTATTACATTGCATGATAAAGCAGGCGCACAGAAAATTTTGTTTCATTTGTATCTCTTGTCCATGGGTACATTTTTATCATGGATTTCTTTTTTATTTTTTGACAATTGTCGGTTAGTGTTTACAATTTTATTACTAGTTTCTATAGCTGTGTGCTCTGACCTGTATCTTTGTCACCAAATTGTAATTTCTGATCCAGTTTTAAGCATCAAATATTTGCGCTGAGGCCATTGGCTATTCTCTAGTTGTACTATCAGACCAACATGAACGTGTACTGTATTCTCTTTTGTGGTCATAAATTTACCCCATGCAACATTGCAGATTCGGTTTTCAGAATTATGACTGGAAAGAGTATCTGCCCCGTCTTAAAGGAAAAAGTGTCGAGGAAATTCAGAGGTATGTGAAATGTGCTCTCCATATTTTGTGACCCCAAATATTTTGAGTTGTAGACCAAATAGTGAGGAATCTGGGGCACAGTTTCGTAACTTAGGTGGACATTATGCACATCATTCTACATTTTATTGATTATCTCCTAGGTATACATACAATGAATTCGAATTTGTGCTTCGACGAAGAATTGACGAGATTGGTAACGGATGTTCCTCACTTATGATAGTACACATATTTAGGCAAAGTCAACTGCTGGTAGTGAAAGTTTACACACCAATACGCTTGGTTGGGCCCATGCTTTGTTTATTATGTTGCAAATCTCTATAGCTATAGCACCCTTGTCAACAAGGAAAGATGTGACATCATCACATATGAAGCCAAATTAAGCAGGCAGTCACCAAAGTCAGACTATCTCTGAAGTGCTAGTAGCAAATTGAGCCAACAGTCACCGAAGGTAGACTACCTCTAGTGCTAATAACAGGTGGCCATAGCTTAACCCCAGTGCTAGTAGCAAATTGAGCCAACAGTTACCAAAGCTCGCAGCTGAAGTAAGGGCCAGTTTAGCAGCACTCTGCTCCATGAGAGTTGGGTGGAGCGCTGACAAATGCCGCTGCTCCACCTCGGAAGTGCTCCCCCCCTGTGCTCCAGTCTATTTGCATTATGGGTGGGGAGCAGAAAAAATCCGCTCCCTCTGCAGACTGCTCCACTTCCTGCTCCCCTCTCCACCACCCACGCCGCTATCCACTGCACCTCTGCCTGCACAGCCCCTCTCTGGCTTGTCGACGGTGGCGTGGACCATGAGCTCTGAGCAGATCCATGGTGGTGATGGAAGAAGGCGGCGGGAGGGAGGCCAGATCTGCTGTGGCGAGGAGTGGTGCGCTTGGAGGACGTCGGCCCTGGCGAGCTGGAGCCGAAGCTGAGGGAGAAGCGCTGCCAAACACTGACATCGGCAGGTGGGGAGCAACCCAAGCAGGAGCCTAAGGGAGCTGGGAGCTCATATAGCTCTATCATTAATTTTTCCTTGTAGAGCCCATAACCACAAGAATGTATAGGGTAGGCTTGTATAGCGCCCATTTAAGTCAAGTAGGCCTCTTCTAAATGGCTTCCCACCAAACAACCCAATTTTAGGCAATCCTTTTTGTGGAGATCCTGAAAGTGATTTATAGCAATAACCTTTGTGCAATTTATTGGCTTATTCTATAATATGTTCTTGCAGATATGCTGAACTTGTTATGGCACATCTTGTTGAAGAAATTAACGATTCTGAATGTTTCTCAGGTAATTGAGCTTAGTAATGGCTACTATAGTTTCTACCCATCCAATTCTTATCCTCCATATGCATGAATGCAGATGGCGTTCCAAAGGAAATGATGCGTGTTGATGATGTGCTAGTCAGGATAGCAAACATATCCCTTATCGAGGAGAAGGTACATGTGGCTTTCAGTTGTTATTGGCATCTTAACATGACTTAGAACTTAAAAGGAACTTATGAGCACCCTGATGATGCTCAATACAAACATGATTGTGCTGTATTTTTCTTGCGTAAAGTGCAAGTGTTGTCGAGAGCTGAACTTCAGTATTTCAACTTGTGTGTTCCTTTGAAGCCAGACTGTTCTTTGTCACAATTTGTAAGCATAGTATCTGTACGAATTCATAGATTTTTGCAGCTTATAGAATTCCATTGATTACAATACCTTGATATAATTCTGCTATCAATGAGGCAACCTTTGTGTACTGTATTCTTTCTTACCTTTGTATTGTGGTTCCAGGTGTCTGCCACAGGACCAGGAAAAATTACAAACATCTTTCCTAATTATTTGCTCTATGAGTTCCAAGGCTTATCTGGTGGAAGAATATGGAAAGCGGAGCATGATCTACTGTTATTGAGAGGCATACTGAAGTATGTATCTGTTGGCATGTTTTCTTTGTTATACAATAAGCTTTACAAAATGACCCCTTCATGAAACTAGCAGTGGCTGGAACAGTTTCGTGGCAAGAGTAGCCTTAAAAAGTCAATGTTTAGACTTTTACTCCTATGTCAGCAGGCGTGGCCTTGCAATGACAGAGCTAAGGTGTTTGGGTCACTTGTCGGTTGATGGATTATTAGTTTTTTAGTATGGTAGCAGTGGCTTGCATCTTGGCTCGAGTGGACATAGTGAGCCCAGAAGTTAGGGTTACCCTAATGGGCATCTTCTCACATAGCTTGATAGCTTCCAGTCCAGTTGGTGCCTGTCCACTCAGTGCCCTAGTGATTTTTGAGACATCGAGTTGAGGAACACTGTTCAATTAAGGCAACAAATTCAGCTTATCTTGAATGTTGAATAAGTAAGCTGAAGTATCACATGCAAACCAGATGAGCTCCACATTTGATTTGATATCTAACTTAAATTATTTATTTTGATTCCATATGTTTAGAGACATTTACAATTGTAATCATGTTCCTAAATTATTTATTTTGATTCCATATGTTTAGAGACTTTTACAATTGTAATCATGTGAAACAGCTTAATGAAAGATGTAGGTTTTTAAGGGGTAAACTAGGAATACTTGACCTGAACAGCGAATGCCTTCAGTTGCTTTTATTATACTTTGTGTGTTCTCCTTGTGGATAGTGCATTCTTTACCAACTATTGTTTCACACTGTAGCAACACTATGTTTAAGGTATTAACACAATGCATTTGTTTTGCCTTCATTAGGCATGGGTATGCAAGGTGGCAGTATATATCAGATGACAGAGAGAATGGGCTTTTTGAGGCTGCACGACGAGAGCTGAATCTCCCTTCGGCTAATGAAATAATTGGTGCTCAGTCGAACAACGAGGCAAATGTTAGCATGTGCTCACTATGTCCTTTCCTCCAAATTTCTAAGTGATGTGGACCCATTGCAAATCTTATTTCCTCCATTCCTTTTCCAGGGGAATTTGGAAGGTGCACAGGAAGGCCAGGTGAACTCAACAAGCATGTCCCATTACAAGGAGATCCAGAGAAAGATAGTTGAGTTCTTGAGAAAGAGATACCACCTTCTGGAGAGAGCCTTGAATTTGGAATATGCTGTGGTACAGTACTAGGCTTTTTCCCTGAACAGACATGCACTCAAAGCTCACATGGGAGTGCACAGTAGCTGTTCATGTAGTATCTTGCAGCATTTGTTAAAGCGTGCCTTTTTTTTTTTTGCAGATAACGAAAAAATTCCTGTTCCTGATGATATTACTGAACAAGGTGTTCCAGCAGGACATGTTCCACTTCTTCCAGATATCAGTGAACTGTTGCGGGAATTGCCCAATCTTGAGCCAATTTGTAAGTGATCTATTCCTTCTCTCCATGTATGCAGGAAGAGTCACATAGTGGCATAGAACATGCTCGGGCAGATGCTCACGATTTTAATCATGTGGCATGCATGACTCGTCTTACTCCCTCTGTCCCTAAATATCTGTCGTTTTACTTCCTCGAGAAACAACTTTGACTAAATATATATTAAAAAATATTAATATTTATGGTACATAATTAGTATTATTGGAAAGATCTTTGAATCTAGTTTTTAATAAATTATTTGGAGATACAAATGTTGTACTTATTTTCTACAAATTGAGGCCTTGTTTGGATCCATGAGGGCTAAAAGGTGACTAAAAGGGGTGGGCTAAACTTTAGCCCCATGGATCCAAACAGGAGGGCTAAAAGTGGGGGCTAAACTTTAGCCCACCCCTTTTCCATTAGCCCCTCCAAGGTGGGCTAAAGAGGGCTAAAAGTGGTCCCCTCATGACAAAAAGACGCATATTGCCCCCCACCCACCCTTTTTTAGTCCTGTGCATGAGTATTAATTAGGGGCAAATGGGTCATGGTAGGGTACATGGCTAATCTTTAGCCCTTTGATCCAAACAGCCCCATGGGCTAAACTTTAGCCCCTTCATTCTAAGGGTTAATCTTTAGCGTTGGGCTAAAGTTTAGCCTCATGGATCCAGATAGGGCCTGAGTCAAACTTGTGACACGCACACCAACGGCTGACAGTTATTTATTTAGGGACGGAGGAGTACGTACTAAAGCATCTCTAAAGATGTGATGTTGACATATACTCTGAGGTTTGCTCATTGTTTGTTTTGATAACTGGGATCCTCATTTCCAGCTACCAATGAAGTGGCTCCCGAGGGCACAGCTGGTCAGTCACAAGTTCCCCATCTTTACAATAAGGTGCGTAAGCGCAATGGCACAAATTTTCATGGGTCATGAGCGAACACATCACTTGTTTTCCTCGATATAACCAGACTGTGTATGCTCTGCAGATGTGTGGAGTGCTTGAAGAGAGTGGTGGTTCTGCGATAAGTTCGTTCTTTGGAGACAAGTCTGCATCTTCTAGTTTGGCCAATAGCCTTCGTCAGTTTGAAACTGTGTGTGAGAATGTTATTGAGGCCCTGCGACCCCAACAAAATGGTACTGCCAGTGCCATCAAAGAGGAAGTGGTAGATGCAGCCACCAAAGCAGCTGCCGTGCCTGCGCAAGATTCAAGCCATGAGGCAGCGAATGGGCAGTCTTCGACAGCCAAGGCGGACATGGAAATCGATGGTTGATTTGTAGGTGCCAGAGTGGTAGGAAAGGGAATTCCCGCTAATCACTATGTATACTGTGGTCAGAATGTATGGTATTGTAACATTAAGGAAAGCACCTCCAGGCCTGACGGTGTTACTGCTAACGCCTTTGGTTTTCTTCTTGTCCTTGTAGTATGCATACACGTTCGGAACTTCACATATGCTTCATGCAGCCATTTTGTGCGGTGATCACTGTCCCGTTCATACATCCTGTTGTGTTGTACCATGCCTGTCTATTGATGCTTGTTGACAAGCATCCGAGAATTGTGACGGAGTTGACCACAAGAAGTTCGTTGGAAGGGACGAAAGAGCTCGTCAAATCAACATCGACCAATCATAAACATAACAGGTCCGAGGTGTCACCTCTACCAAACGGCACCTGGATCGACGGGGCCCACTGGGATCCTATGAATGATTGAACCTTTTTTTGAAACAAGAATGATTGAACTTTTTAATCGGTCATTCCTCCCGTCGTGTTTGTCTCCTCCGTCGATCCACTACGCGACGCAGCTTGTAGCTGACAGCACCAGAGAGAAAGGTTGCCGGACATGGAAGAAGCGGCAGGCCGCGAGCGCCCGCCGTGGCGCTGCACGGTGGCCGTGGCGCTGCACGGTGGCCGTGCAGGCCGCGCGCTGCCTCGTGCTCTACGCGGCCTTCAGCCTCGGCGAGCCGCAGCTCATCCAGTGGGGCGGTGGCGCAGGTGGGGTGGACGCACTCGGGCGGGGCTCGCGCGGCGGCGCCTTCCTCAGCGTCTCTGGCGGCGCGCAGGGACCCATCAAGCAGGCGAGGCTACTGAGGCAGGTGTGCGCGTTTGCACTCACTCATCCACCCCCACACTCCGGGATGTCTTCGCTCCATGCGCACCTTCCGGCGCCTGGTTCCGTTCGTGGAATGGTGTTCTTCATGACTTCATTTGGCTTCCTCTCATCCCCTGTCTGCGACTTGGCATTGCCCCCTTTCCCATTTGCTTCGTGATGTGTGGGATTTTCTCAGAGCCCCTTTGGTCGACCTCACCTCTTCTTCTGTTAGCAACCTGCTACTGGATCGTAGAGAATATGAGGGAATCAAAGGAGGAAGTAGTAGAACCTTAGGGTATCGAGAGGAAGAAGAGGAACAGTAAGAGGGGAGAGTTCTAGGAAGGGAGATAACCTGTTGGTTAATTGTTTCTGTAATGTTCCATCCCCTTCTCGTTGCTGACCCTTACATATGTAATCTCTCATCCAATGTCTGGACTGGGCTCGAGGCCCATGGCCCATATGACTGTCTCAACCATGGCTAGTTCCTAACATTCCCCTCTCCTTAAGATTCGGCTTGCCCCCAAGCCGATAGAGAATGATGGAACCACTGGGATCCCAAGGAAACTGGACGATCCTGTGTTTCTTCAGTTCCTTCATGGGAAAATGTCTGCCAGCATTTTTGTGTAGGGCAGGTGGAGTTGAAGCTTTCTTCACAGTGGGTTTAGACTTTGCAGACTTGGAGGATAGGGTATCAAGAATGAGATCATCAAGACTCTCATCAATACGATAGAATCCTTTCATCATCTGACTAAAGCCTACTAAACATTGTTCAGATGCTTCCTTCAGATGTATGACAATAAGAGCTGCAGCAGCTGGACTCTCCATTCCAAGAGTAAGAGCTCACTTCACCACTTCATGATGAAAAAGGGGCACTGCCCATTCTCTGATGCACCTACAAGCCTTAGTTGTATCACCATTTCTGATGTATTGCTGTAGTAGATTAGCAATCCTCTTCTTCACCTCTTCTATTGTGATGTAAGTTGAACTACCACATTGTCGCTCAATTAACTCTGCGTGGTGGGGTGCTGAAAGATAGCTGTACTCTGCAATTTGTACAAGACTGACCAGCTGACGATGCCCGGAAGTTGTGCTCCAAAAATTGATGCAGATCCCACAATGCTTCATGTGAACCCAACATGCGTTGTAGATCAGTGAAACTACACTTGACTGAAGCAACCTCAAACCGAATACGGCTGAAATAGAAGCAAACTGAATAGGAGACAGCAGCTCATAAGATGACCACGGTAGTTGCATCTTTCCATGAACAACACCCTACAGTTCTGTTGTCTCTAGCAGTAGATATGGACAAGTCTTGGCTTTCATAGCAGTTCTGTTGGACGTGCTGTAGTAATAGATATCCTTGGACTTGTTCTGTTACATTGCTTTTGGATTGATTACACAGCTGAGAAATAAAAGCTTCACTTGTTGACCCATTGGTGTCCCAGACCAAAGCTTAACCCAAAGACACCACAAGGCTATATCATGGAATTCACACTGCCCGATAGATAACAACCAAGGATGGATGGTTACGCATAACTCACCATATAAGCAACATTGTATTGAGCATGTACCATCCAAAGCAGCAAAGAAATCAACCTCAATGATGCATAGCTGACCCAAGAAGATCACCTCTCCAATTACTTTTCCACAGTTCTTCAGGACAACATGAGAATATCTGAAAGAAGGCCATGTAAGCTCTAGGTGCATAGCTGAACAGCGACATGTGGACCAGTTGCTAGCAGCCTGGAAGAACTTAGTACGGAGAACGAGACACCACTCCAAGTGAACAACGAACAAACTCCAGGAATAATGGATCTGCTCTATACCTCTTGTATTCCAATCCTGCAGAGATAACGATCTAGGTGGAGGCCATGGTGACCACAGGTCCACAACCTTTTCCAAGCCATGCTTGAGTATGTATCGCTGATGAATCTGAGATGGCCACAGGACCACCGAACTCGACTCAGTCATTTGCTGAAATTCCAGATGTACCTCACGCACATTGGCTTTGCAATCCAACAACAAAACACCCAGCACAGGAGTAGAGGCAAACATGGTAATACACCTGCTGAATGGCCCACCAAGCAGCTCCGACAGGCTTGCAGGAGCCATCGTTGCAACCGACACCGGGGTAACCAGCTTGGAAGTGACATCCATGGCAAGCTTGAGGCCGTTGCACGGTGGCCGTGATTCCCTGTCAGTAGCACGAGCATGGAGCACCACGGCAGACATCAAAGCAGCATACTGAGAGAACACTGGTGCTTGTTTGCTTGCTGTCGTAGTTCGTCGACGGTGCGACATTTCATCAAACACCCCTTGGGCACGAATGGAGATGGTGGTAGGCTTACTCAAGGCTGCGACCCAGACCCTTGGCGGCTCATAGCCATGGTTGGGAGGCGCCGTGGACGACGAACGCGGGCGTCGGGGAAAAGGTTGCAGACCGCGTCCACCGCCTTGTCGAACAGCCAATAAAGCCGATGCCGCTCCTCGACAGGCATGGAGGCGATGTCCACGCAGACGCGGCCACCGACCGCACCATGTGAGACGCCAGGGAGGACGCCACTTGAGACGCCAGAGCAGATGGGTCTCGGCCGTGTACTGGGGCGTGATGTCGTGGAGGTAGTCCTTGGTGTCGTGCCCGAAGACGATGTAGGTCTTGAAGGGCGGGATGATGGGGTCCTGCGCCAGCATGACGAAGCATGTGCCATTGCTTGCGGCCCCCACGGATGCCATTGGCGAGACACAGGAGGCCGTGAAGCTTGGCGGCAGCGCGACGCGATGACGGCGGTGTCCCGAGAGGCCTTCCGCGACGACATGCTCGGCGGTGCCCGCGGTGTCGACGAAAGCCTCATGGGCCACGTTGAGGCCCTTGGCGTTGGCGTGAGCTCGCCTGCGCCAGCCTTTGTGGGTGGGAGATGGTGCGCGGAGTTCGCGTAGTAGCCGCAGAGCGAAAGGCGGGCGGCGCGGAAGAAGGTGTCGGCGGGGACCCGTGTGTTCGCTGCCAAAGTCGAACTCCGCACGGGATCGGGCTGTTGCGGAGGAGGTCGGGTCGTCGCGTAGCGGCCGAACTCTCTGGTCGTTGTCGAGCGCAGTTGTGCTCGGGACGACGTAGCCGCCCGAACAAGATGGCGCGGAGCGCGTACTCGACGGGGCCGAGGCGAAGCGGTGGCGCCGAGCCCAAGCCGATGGAGAGCTGGAAGACGTGGATGCCCAGGACGCCGCGGCGAGGAAGTAGCCCAATGCGTGGACGAGCACGTTGGTGTGCTGGCCGGAGGCCGCGGAGGCAATGGACTCGACGCTCGCGAGGTCTGGCAAAGCGGCGGTGGCGTGCAGCACCATACGACCCGCCAAGGGTGGAAGAGCGTGGTGTGCGCGGTGCAACGTAGGCGGAGGCGGAAGGTGCGGGCGCGGGCGTGACGCAGGCGGCAGTGGGAGGTGTGGGTGCGGGCATGACCGAGGTAGCGGCGGCGGAAGGCGCGAGCGCGACCGAGGCAACGGCGGAAGGTGTGGGCGTGGTCGAGACCGAAGCGGCGTGGTCGGCGAATCGCCGATCCAACCACGCGTTCTGCTCGGCGAGGAGCTTACGGATTTCGTTCTGCCCGGCGGAGAGCTTACGGAGCTCATCGAGCAAGAGCTTGGTGGAAGGATTCATGGTGGACTACCAAAATCGACGGCTCTGATACCAAATGTTAGCAACCTGCTACTGGATCGTAGAGAATAGGAGGGAATCAGAGGAGGAAGTAGTAGAATCTTAGGGTATCGAGAGGAAGAAGAAGAACAATAAGAGGGGAAAGTTCTAGGAAAGGAGATAACCTGTTGGTTAATTGTTTCTGTAATGTTCCATCCCCTTCTCATTGCTGACCCTTGACATATATAATCTCCCATCCAATGCCTGGACTGAGCTCGAGGCCCATGGCCCATACGACTGTCCCAACTAGTTCCTAACATCTTCACTTCGCGTTGGCATGATGTTTATGTGGTTGCAGCTCGCACACGCATGGCATTGAGCCCGTCACTGACGGAACTGAACTACTGAAACATGGTCTGTTCACCACGGTAGCCTTCATATACAGCGCATCACAGTAAATTGGACAAGTGCCGAGTAAATGTTCCACGGGACATGCTGAGTGCGTAACTAGGAAGAGTTCATCCGTCGTCGGTTGAACCCATGGAATTCATTCAGAAATATGACTTCCTCATTCTGATAACGATTTGCTCATGTAGTTGCGTGTCCCGTGCTTCTGACCAGCGATGCGTTCACACAGGTAATAGATGTCAGGTTTTATGGCCTACACATGCCTGATCCAAGATTGGTATTACTATATAACCATGCCATTGGACTTACCTGGGTCCTGGATCACGGCACATGCGTATGTGCTTTCCGATGAGGCGCATGTGCCTCCTGATCATGCTTTCACTGCAATCACCAATCAGCACTGAGCTATCCTGAACTGCATTCTTGTATTGTGATTGTGCCCCACCAATCTACTCCGTAATTCCGTATGTATTAGTTAATGCCACACAACTAAGTTCTGATTTTCCACTAGCCCGTTTTGACATATTTTGCCACTGATCGATGCAAAAGTTTTGCCTTTGGTGATCCTTAGAAATGTCTGGTTGTTTGTGATACTGTTGATCGACAAGCCTTATTTCTTCCATTGGATTAAAAAACTAGCCAGAACCCCGCACGACTATGCAAGCATGTGTAACAAAGATGGAGACACATAAATCAAAACTTTCAGGATCGGAAATACTGAAAAGGAAATGACGACACACAATGAGAATGATGAAGACGGTTTGCATAGTTATATTTCGAGTTTGGTTGTAACACCAAAATTACAGGGCATCTGAAACTGAAGGATGCACAAATATGGTTCGATTCAGCATGTAAACAAACTATTAACCAAACGGCACTATGATTTCCACTTCATGATGTGTGCTGAGGCATTACTGAAGATGCATAGGAATCTAAAATATGTATTTGACAATGTGGACTAAGCATCTGTGAAGAGCCGAGATGCAAGTTGTTGGTGCCGTTTGGAGTAGCAGGGCCACGAAAACAGCAAAGTAACACTTCCCTGTGCTGAAGATGGGTAAACTGCTTTCCTGTTACAGGTAGGAATTTATCAATAAGAGTAGTCTAGGATTCACAGTAGTAAAGTGTGGTACACCTATGTGGCATGTATAAAAAATCTATTGACCATCAACGGGACAATTGATGGATGATTATAGCGCTATATGCATATAGGATTTTGAATCTATGGCTAAATGCAGGCAAGAACAATAACTCAACTGCATTTTCTTCTTTTGAAGTAAGGCTGACCAATACAGTATTTCACTGCAGCTGCACGTAGACAGAGTCAAAAAGTTAACTGGAACATCATATATAAACTTACGGAGGATGGCGGTCAGAAAAAGCAATGAACTGCGAATAAATTAGGAAGGAGTGTGAAACATAATTTGGGGACCAACATCTAGAGAATCCCAATATGTGATCTTGCAAAGAATAACAAATCTGGGTAATAAAAATAGCAATTTTTTTTATGAGACAGGAAAACATTGGTGCTTAAATCTGACCACACACACACAATCAAACTGGAACGATGTACCTTGTTGGCATGGAGAGTAATCGAGACTGCAACAGGACCATGGAAGAAGCTGTTCATTTTGCTATCATCCTGAGGCCAACATTATGTAAGCAGGTGAATATGCCTGTTGATAAATCGAAGCATGAGCCCAGAACTATAGCGAAAAAAAATCCATTTGAACAACCATATTTACATGTCAGTATATACGAACGAAATGAGTCTGCAAAAATATAAATAAGATGACTTAGTACACGGTGGCAGGAATGTGGAGAGCAGAGGGGCAGAGACCGGGCTGCCAGGGAAGCTGTACCGCATGATCTCTTTCTTCCTTCATCGGAGAGGTGCATCATATTAACATCATGCAACTCAACAAAGGTAGCATATTTTAATGATTCAGTTTCAAACAAAAGGGAATCCATCATTCAGTTGACCTCGTCTGTCGTACCGGAAAAAAGCAATTGCAACCAGAGAAGGCAAATTACTCTAAATGAATTAAAGGAACTGCTGGTTTTAAGATTACTACGAAACTGGGTTGGTGGGGTCGGTCGAAGCTGGAGCCCAATCCTAAGCAGCGAGGCACAGTGGCGGATCTAGGTTTTTTGTACAGGGTATGGTGGACCAAAATTTTTATATCCAAACCGGTAGAAACCATTTAGCAACTCGGTAAAGTGCCATAAAAATTGCCCCACAATTTGGTATAGAAATATTTAATATCATGATAAGTCTTAGATTACATCATCTCATCTGCTACCCTTTTTTTTACCTATGCTTTGTAATGGGCTCTCAAATTCGATGTGGCCACATCTACTTTGGGCTACATCTATATCAAATTAGAAATAAGCTGTATTGCTATACGTTCTTTTGATCAGAGAAATCGAGGCTAATTTGCACAGTTCTACTACGTACATGTGGCAACATGGGTACATGTATGAAATCAGATCAGAGAAAGTTAGGGTCAGAAAACTTGTGAACTTGCAACGAAGAAGAGAAGGGAGATGGCTGCGGGGCGAAGGGGGCTAGCCGGCTAGGGGCGCCGCACTGGCGCTGCTGGAGCTGCCGCCGGCCGGGCTAGGCTCTGCTGGGGCGGGCTCACGCGAGTGCGGGAGCGCCTGGGCGAACGCGGACAGCCGGCGGTCGCCGGCACACGGGGCGGCGCGCAGGCAGGGGGGGCGACGCAGGGTGGCCTGCGCTCGCCCAGGACTGGGTGGGACGGCACGCACGCTGGAGGTGCCGGCAGCGGCGCGAGAGGCTCGGTGGTGAACAGCGGCGGCGAGAGGGCGAGGCGACCCGGTGAGGAGCGGGAGTCCGCCGAGGTTGCGTGGTGGAGGATTTTTTCTTTCTTTTCTCTTTGCTATTCTGTCGGAGGGAGGTGGGATGGACGAGGATGACGTCCGGTGGAGGCCCGCGTGTACAGGCGAGGAGCGGACCGGACCGGATTGGAGAACTGTAGAGCTACAGGGTTCTGAGTTTTGCATGCGGGTTGGTACTATTGATTTACAGGAACGGTCAGCAGGAACAAAGATCTTTATTATAGATAGATAGATGCACTAAGGAAGAATGTATTTTCTACAATCTTTTCTAGATTTGCGTTTTTAATAAAAAAAACTGTTATCTATGAAGATGGAGACCATAGCAAAGGCTTATGAAGTCAAGTTCGTGCTGGATGTTGCTCAACTGGGAGAGGATGATCCACTCTGGCAAAATGTAAGTATCTAAGTGCTAACAATGTTGGGGCTCATGTGTAATATTATTACTTGTCTATTGCCATTGTAACATTTCTCAGTTCTACCGTTTCTTTCTTTCTTTCCTAATTTCTAGGGTTCCATGTACTTCCAAGCTCTGAACATCCCCTGGTAAGCTAGTAGTTCCTAGTTCATAGTACATGTAAACTCACATAATAGTAAAGAAAATGTAGCTCAATAGTTTGCTGTACTGCCCAAGGTTCGCCCTCTTCTGTGTGTACATTATAATTGCTTCTCCATAAGGTACTCCACTAAGTCAATCACATGGGCGGACAGTCGGTAACTTTTTGAAGAAAGTGAAGATGCCCTACGATCAGGTTCTAGATACATGGCCTCTGCAGGTATTACATCTCGAGCACCTTTGAGTTTATTCTAGCAGGCAACCATCTGATAAACAGAAGTACATCACGTTATATACGCCGGCATTTATGGATTCTTATACATTGATTTGTAACTGCTTTTACAAGGAACCTCTACATGATGGCAAGATAAGCACTTCTTACAGGGGACAAACTAAATGGTTGGATCAATCACTAGCGCTCACTGACAGCAGTTGGTAAGTGCTTACTTGCAGTTGCCCCTGTTTTTTTTTATGCAAACTCTTTGTATTATTGTTGGAGATGCTAGTATGTAGTCTATAGGCATGCATATATGAGTTTTGTTTTAATAAAAGACATGCATATATGCTTAAATCATCAAGGGACTGAGTTAGCATTGAAGAATGAAGGTACATTGACAAGCTTTAAACATCCATATGAAATAGTAAAACCACCCTTTTGAGCTGAATTTATGCCTTTATGCTCCTTATGGAGATTTATGCATGGGTTATTGTTTGTAACCAAAATGCTCACATTCTTTTTCTTTAAGACAGGAAAATAGTTGTTGGATATGATCCATTACTGGTTTGCAATGGGGAAGAAACACCAGAAACAACAAAGTTCTATGTGCCATTTCAACACATTTTTGCTAAATATGAAGTGGTAACTTCTGCTCTCTTCATTGATGCCCTTTTTTGCTTCAAATTAATGATTGCTATAACTTAGTACCCTCTATACGTACAGAATGCATACATAAGCATGGCTGGGTTTTGTGGTTATTTCCACCGAGACAACTCGATATTATACATTGGACATCCCAGCCCTGGTGGTGACCATAAAAGTGTAGATGGTTTTTTCTTGCACAGAGTTAGACCCCTCGAGCTCGAGATGGTGAGTTCATGACTATACGCTGCACTTTCCCCTTCTTTATCCCCAATATCAATATGAAACAATTAAATTTCCATTGGGCAAAATGTGGCAGGAGTCAATGTTGATAAATGTAGAAGGCAGGTTGGTTCAGAGATCTGTTGTTCAACAGCATGGAACGGGAGCCATGTGAACCTCATGACTTTTAGTTTCTGTTCCATTATGTCATAGCACCGAACAAAGGCCACATAACATTGTATTGGATTCATTCAGTTCAAAAAAGCTGCATTAGATTTTTGTCACTTTGCCTGTTTCAACATGTTTGAGTTTGTAAGGAACTTTAGGTATCCTTTACCATTTTTACAAACAAACAAGAGTTCACTATCAAATGCAGAGTGCTGCCCAAGCAGGGCACGAGCAGTTAATACATTCTTTTTCTTGTATCTGCTGGTGCTGTGCCAGTTGATCTGTCAACAGAAGTCTCAACTACAGCCGGATTTGCTTCAGAAGTTTTAGATAATGTTTGCAAGGCTGTAACTGTCGTTTTCATAATTCCTAAGGCCCAAACTATTCCATTTTCTTTTATCTTTTACAAAAAACTAAAGTCAGAACTCAGAAGGATGCCGTTGGTGCTATAGCAGTTACTTTACAGCCTGTTCGTTTGGCTGTGGCTTGTCGTAAACGATCGTAAATTTCCAGCCGGAACAGTATTTTTCTCTCACACAAACCAGCCAACAGTACTTCTTCACGAACCAGCAACGAAACAAACCAGCCAACTGAACAGGCTGTATGTGAAATTGTGAATTCACAGCTCCAAAGGTGGCTTCGGCTTTTTGGGAGGTTGGGGGAGGGAGGAGCTGGGCTGTATCTTTGGCCCTAATTCTTTTGCTACCTTTTTTTTTGCATGAGAGATCCTGATATTAACACAGATTACGCTAGACTCACTTAGATTGACACCTAATCCACGTGACTTTCAAAACTTACGAATTGCTTCGATTCAAGTGTTTTCCTCTCCTTTTTTTTTTTTCTTTTTGCAGCCCATGTGAAATGCTATTTATGCCCTGCCACACACTCTCTTATGCACGCACAACCTTCACATGACTGAATTCATTCAGGGCTATGCCAGTTCATTGGCTACTTGTTCAATGTGTGCAGGTCTACAAACTTGAATTCAGTCTGCTAAATCATCGTTGCCACAAGTATTTTTTTTCGTTGCCACAAGTATTTGAACTGCTAGCAAGCAATTCGACTTCTAGAGACAGAACATAAGTATCTAGCTATGAAACCAGGCACAAGTTCCACGCGAAATTTTATAGCACGACAAGGTCAAAAATAATTATCATTAATTAAATAAGATAATAGTCTGATACAAGGGGCATAGTCCATCTGATACTGTTGTGATATCGAAATGCCCAGCACCCCATCAATAACATCAATCTAGTAATTCTATAAAAGAATAACATCAACTCAGCAAGCACGAGCGACAAAGTTGATCACAGTGGAGTTTCAACAAACCTAAAAGCTAATTTGAGTAACATAAGCAGCATCTTCAAAGCTCCCACTCCCCTAGAATTTACCAGTACTTACGCAAACAAGCGACAAGGTGAAATGTGCAGAACAATATCATCCCCACCTACTATATTGCTCTGGAACAGCAAAGCACTTGCTGTTCAAACATGATAGGAGGTTTTACATGGAGGAATTACATATTCAACAGATTCAAGCCATAATTAATGGAAACAAAGGCGTTACACTAATATGTGACTACATATCTATCACCACTAGGAAAGCGAAATTGCCACAGGGCAGCAGCTTCTTTCATGGCCGCACCAAGGCGAGCAAAGGATGGCTCCATATGTTGAAAAACCACGTCATTTCTATGCCTCCAGATCTTCCAGGACAGCAGCAGCAAAAACACATGATACTACTGTTTGGCAGGAATAGATTCTGGTCTTCTCACATCCCATAGTAGTCCTACCGAGGCGTTGTCCACTGAAAACCCCATTTTTGTCCAGACATTTGCAGCAAAGGGACACCTAAATATCAAGTGATCCGCACTTTCTGATGCTTGCTTGCACAGCTCGCAGTTGTCATCTTCTACAATTGATTTCTTCTTCAGGTTTGCTCGGCACTGGATTCTTTCTTGGATCAAAAGCCAGGCAAAGAACTTTGGCTTGCTCTGTAAAACTTTGGCTTGCTCTTCTTCTTATATGACATAGCAGAGCTCCTGCTAATTTTTCAAAAAAAAAAAAAAAAAAAAACTGGACCCGAGGGGTGCACAATTGGAGCAAGCTAGCAAGAGAAGGCTCTGGCTGATGCCATGTGTTTTGATAGCTTTGTATACAGGTCCAGCCCGAAGCACACCATCAGCAGCGGCAAATGGGCATATATGGTTATCTGGACTTGGTAGTAATCTTGTGTGTGCCAGTTAGTTAGGATTGCATGTCATCTTGTGAGAGAAAACACTGTTTTTTACGCGCTTACGAAGCAGTTTAATAGGCTGCTTGTGTGTGCCAGTTAGTTAGGATTGCATGTCATCTTTCTGTTTTAGCCAGTTGCATGCGCGTGAGCCCCAAGTTGTGGCGGCCGCGCGCGTAGGAGGTCGTGGCATGAGAATCGCTCAGCCACGCACCTGGGCATGCAGCCATGGCCGGCGAACGCGGTGTGTGGGGATGGACGCGCACACTTCTCGCATCGTGCGCGCTGTGGCGAGCACAGCTCTGTTCTTTGTATTCCAATAAAAGGCAAATAGAGCTACAGAAAACGCTGCGCTTTCAGGCAGCACCAAAACCAAGCATTCGCGTGTGTTGTGCTTGTTCTTGAGTCTTGTCTTCTCCGTCTCCGGCGTCGTGTCCTCGCCGTCGACATTCGCTGCCGATCCGAGACTAACAAGTGGCATCGGAGCTAGCTTTCGAGGTACCTCACTGTCGCCATGGCGTCTCCACCAAGACCCTGTGGTTGTTCACCGGCCGGGAAGGGCGACGGCTCCAAGAAGAACGACAGTAGCAGCGGTTCCGGCGCCAAGACGCCACCGTGCACACCTTCTCCGAGCCGTTCCCCTCCTTGTAATTCACGCACGCACGACGCACGCTGTTCGCGCACCCGCGACGCACACCGTCCGCGGGAGGTCATCATCGAGAGTATCATCCGGGAGGGCAGCAGCTTCGGCAATTGGCAGCAACTGACAAGGATGAACTACCACGAATGGTCGCTCCGCATGAAGCTGAAGATGCAGGCGTGTCACCTTTGGGACGCCGTCGAGTACAACTATAAGTGCAATCAAGCCCTAATATGGGTTTTGGTGTTGATGACCACCTAATTAGAGAACTAATGAGATTTATTAAGATGACAATCAGGGAATTCATTATAGAGGATGTTACATAGAAAGGAGGAGCCCCCAATTACAAATAAGGATGGCAATGCGCTCAAAGGAGTTTTGAATTCTTTTGTCTTTTGAAATTGAGTATGGGAAAAGCCGTAGTATAAAGGGGACACTACAACTGGCTAAAAGTGTACAACCAAATGCTCAATCTTTACACAAAACATCCTCACACCTTAGCCAAGACAGCCAACTTAACAACTCCTTCACCCTTGCTGTCTTGCTGGGTGCGGCAATGCCGCACCGCGGAACTGCAGCACTTAAGTAACCGTTGGGAGGCAGGGGGGTATTTATACTTTTCCCAGTCCTCCATAACGGCTCTCTCTTCTTTCCCAATGGTTTAGACCGACGAAAATCAGCAGGTGCTCATCTCCTCTCTCCTCCATTGGTGCCCTTCAAGCTCTCAAGCTTTTCCTTTGACTTCTCCATCAATCCTTGAGAGAAAAATATGCCAAAAGTGATTAGAGAGCAGCTCCACTGATTCCCAAAGTCTAAAGAGCATTTGATTCACGATTTGGCCGTCGTTTGTGTTTGTTACTCTTGGAGCTTGGCTCCTAGCCGGCTAGAGCGTCGCCCGGTGAGCTTGCCAAGTTTGTGGCAGCCCCGGGAGATTTGTAACCACCTCTTGCAGCAAGTAAAATCACCCCTCATCTCAAGAGTTCACTCTCTTGACTTGAGAACGAGGTAGGGTTGCAAAGCCCTAAGCCTTAGTGGTATACCTCAACAACGTGGACTTAGGCAAGCCTTGGTGGCGAGCTGAACCATGGGATAAATCCTTGTGTCATCTTGTGCTTGTGTTGCTACACTTGTGTTTTTGTTGTTGTTGAGGTGATTTCTAGGGTTTGAGGCTGATCTACTTGTGTGTGGTGTTCCCACCACTTTCAGTTGTCGATCTGTGATCTACTACCCTGCAGGAAGCTAAGAAATTTACTCGATCTAAATTTTGTTGGGTAGATTTTGAACTGTGAACTAATCTCTCCTGCAGGTACGGCAGTGCCGCGCTCACAGAGCGGCAGTGCCGTGGGTGAATTTGACTTTGGTTTGAGTTGAATTTTTACATGCTTATTCACCCCCCCTCTAGGCGTACAAGTGGTATCAAAGCGGGTTACCTCGTGTGTGCTTCACCGCGTGAGGTATGGAGTCCGGGGGAGGATCCGGTGTTGTGAAGCCCATCAACGTTGATCTAGAGGACGTTGGGCTGCATGACACCGACAACAGTGAGCTTAGCGCCTCTACAGCGAGCAACTCCACGCTCCCGCAGCTAGAGGCAACCGATGCCAAAAAAGCTCAAAATGAAGAAGAAAGAAGAAGAAGAAGGGCAGCTAGAAAAGAGAAAAGAGAAGCAAGATAGAAGAAGAAGAAGGAGCAGCAACGGTTAGAAGAGAAGAAAGCAAGAAAAGAAGAAAGAAGACTCAAGAGAGAAGCTAGAAGAAAAAGAAGAGAAGCAAGAAAGAAGAAGGAACAAGAAGCAAAAGCCTCCAATGCATCTTCAAGTGAGCTATCTAGCAGCTCCGAAGATGGTGATGATGATGAGTCCTACCAAGTGCATAGCAAGAAGGACAAGAAAGGAAAGGGCAAGAAGAATGACGACAACAAATATGCCGCCGTATCCTTTAACTATTCTTCTATGTCTATGACTAACCATGATCGCAAGTCTTTCATCAATGTGCCTGCGGGCAAGTTACCTCATTTCGATGGGACTAACTTTGCCAAGTGGAAGCACTTGATGAGAGCCTATTTTATAGGTCTTCATCCCGGCATTTGGGAGGTTATTTGCAATGAATTTGAGCCACCGGTTGATCCCAAGAATCCAA